CGTTTTAAAGATCACCTGACTCACTCACTCACAGACACCATGAGGTCATGCATTAGATGGCGGCCGGGGTACATAGTAGTTGTACGAAACCAGAGTTTGTGCCCTTTGCTAACAAACAATCCCCATATTTGCATGTTTCTTAGATCTTAGCCGGAAAGAAATTTGATCTGTCCATTTTATTGTATTTTTCTCCACATGTATTAATTTATGCATGCAAGTTTGTATGCATGTGGTCTTTGTATTAAAAATGACTATATTTTCCTTCCCGAAGAGCTTCCTCAGAGTGTTAATTAAATGACAACAGGTGCACAAGGGAGGGCGATTATTTGGTAAAGAGATGCACACCTTGTCCTGTGTACATGCATGCAAAACATACTAATAAGCAACACAAGGTAAAACTCCACAGGAGAGCACAAGGAAAGAAGTGTCACAGAAGATGGGAGCGCACAAATAGATGCGACAAAAAGGGAGGAAACAAAGCAAAGAGACGTGGAAATGACATAAACATGTCAAACAAGAGTGGGCGGGTAAAGTCTATGTACTACAATGGCGGTAATGTGAATGCTTCCCCTTTAGATTTTCAACAAAATAAGTTAAAAGAATGTTGAAAAACTAAGCAACACGATCTCTTTGACGTTATTACCCATTGCTTTTGCGGTGTAATATTTGTTGTATAGTGCAGCACTGCTTGTTCTGCAGCAGCACCAGTTGTCACAGCTAAACTTTACAGATCTTGTAGAAATTTGTACCTGTGCTCTTAGTCAGTGTTAGTAAATGGACTGCTAATTTAAAGACCTGAAACAACACAAAAGGTTGCAAAAATGATAGTAATTGACGAATTAGCCACTGAATCAGCCTTTGAATGTCCAGTAATCACGCACGTCCACATAGGAGAAAGCTGCTGTAATAACTGTGGAGCCATACACCACACCATCATATTTATTAAATCGTGCTGATTTCATTTTGGGCTGGAGTCCATCAACACTGGTTGATATTGATCTGTTTTTGACGAAATATAACACTGGTTGTTAAAAGATTTTTTTCATATGGTTTGGGGTGTGTGAGGTTTTCGCACTGCCAATGTGCTTTCTAGTCTTCGTTTAAAGTTGTTGTAAATAACAAGGGAATGAAAGATCTGCTTTTCATACTTTTTGGGGATCAAACAATGAATTTAAAAAAATCATCACGTCACGTAAAAACTGTCATGTGAAAGATTACGCTGCGATACAAGATTTGGAAACATCAGAGTTTGTGAATCCTCTGTAGACACTTCATCATCAAAAAGTGTTTTTTTTTATTGTCGTTTTTGGCTGCTTTGCTTAGCCTCATATCCTTTCATGGTTGGGGAAGGGTCACATAAAAACAGTCACTAACATACACAAAACCCCAGAGGATTCCGTGCTCTGTTTCTGAATAGATAATTGATATATTATCATGAGATTATTGATATTTTTGCCATATGCTAACATTTTTCCTGGATGGTGGTAGAAGACTGAAGTCAGAAGAAGAAAAAAAAAAAGGATCTGTGTCTGGTGTGGGCGTCTGTGTATTTGTATGTGTGTGTGTGTTGGTTTTTGTACACATGCTTGTCCATATGTGTACAAAATGTGAGTGATCTGTCCTCTCTGAAGTTTGTCATCGTGCACCATAATTATACCTGCTCCAACTATACGTGTTCGTTTGCGTTCAAGTGCCTATGGATGTGTCAGTGTGTATGTGCGCACACACACCTTTCAAGCTTGTAGTGTATGACCGCCAACCTGCTTTCAATATAGCTTCTTATTAGGTGGTGATTATCCTGCCTGCATCTGGCTTTTTTCAGCGTTTGACTGGAAGTTGGAGAGGCCAGGGGCACGCTGGGAAGAAAGGAGTGAAAACTTCCTGAACCCAGCGTTCACCCCCTCATCTCCACCCCATCACCTCCAATGCAACCTTTCAGCAAAACACCTTATATTCATGTTGGTATTTGTGTATACAGAATTGCAAATTATGACGCAGAGGTGGTGCTCAGACTATATGCACAATGTAGCTCACCAGTGTGTTGCAGAAGATCTCTTTCTATGGGGTTCTAACTGCACTCACGGTATCATGTGTCGGTCTTAAACTAAATCTTTATTGCACTTGTGAACTCTGGGCTATCTTTTGTAGTGCAGAATATGTTTTTACTGTATCATCCAATATCTGTTAAAGGCTTCTGAAATATATATATTTTTAAAGAGACCAGGATGAAACCTTTTTTTGCACAAAAAAAAATCACCCTTGCTTGGCATCCAAAAGCAAAATCGTGTTTATTGCATTTCCATGCCTTAGCAACAACAGACACACACATATTCCTGTTCCATTACTCCTACCTGTGGTAAAGTGCCCGATTACAAGATGCAAAATTACCCAAATTGCCTCACCATGATCCAAAAAATACTTTATGAAGCAAAAAAAAGAGACAAGCCAGACAGAAAAGAAACAGATAATACACAGTGTGGCAGGATCCCGAGGGCCTGGCTGGGACCTTTGTAAGAGCCCATACATCAGCTGTCTCCTGACGGGCTTCCAAAGAGCCATAACAGGGAAACACAATAGACTGGACAGATGGTCCCAAACAAACTGCAGTGGGTTTGATGCTATTAAAAGCTGTTTACCTCATGCCAGACGCCAGCAAGCGTAGTGGATGCATTGTGTGATCAGTTCTGAATGACTAAATGTGAGCTTATGCGTGTTTGACTACCAGCTTCTGGTGTTTCAATAAACCCTCTGGTGTTTTTAGCCACCAAATGACCATTCGTAGCTTGAGTAAGATGCAAGTGTGTGTTTGTGTGTGTATTTGTGTGTGTGTGTGTGTGTGTCGTTTTCTCGTAATTAGGATACAATCAAAGACAACACACGATTATGAAACACAAACAGTATGATGGCTGGTTTGCAGTCAGTGGATTGCAGCCAACTCTGTGGGCCATGACAAACCTTTGGCTGGTAACCAATAACCAGATTAACATAAAACAGACCGCCGCCTCCCTCCACCCCCCTCTGCCCCCTTTCTCTGTTACTCCCTGCCTCTCATCCTGTCCTCCTTCCTCTCCCCTTCATATGCTGTGCTAAAGAGCAGCTCTGACACCTCAGAATGATGAACTCCTTCGGCGCGCTGACCTTTCTCCTTCGGACTAGTCACCCGCCCTCCTGCCCTCTTCCATGTAGATGAGACAGAGACAGATGAAGATATTTTGTAATGTGCGTGCATGCGTTGGTGTTAGCGGGGACGGTGGGCGGGAGTGTCACGCGGTGACACAGTGAAATTGGTTTTGCTGTTGGTGGATGGTGGCCGTCCCACCTTCAGATCAGTAGTCAACCGGGGAGATTAATCCAGACACAGGGGGACCTATTGGAGAGCAGCCATGACAGGCCCTGAACTAGAGGAGGGAGACAGACAGGTAGACAGTCAGATGGGGCGGATGGGTTCGTGACAATGATAAACCTACCAAGATTGCGTCCATATATCTGTGTGTAACTTCCACGTTTAACATACAGATTGTCGGACTGCTGTGGACATGAATAATGTAAAGGCCGAGTTTCTCCTACATGACGAGTAAAATATAGCCCACGTTTAGTCCTTACCTCAGAATTATAAACTAATTTCTGTGGGTCTGATGTTGCTCTAGTAGATGATTGCCCTGGTTAGAAAACAATCAATCCAATCAAAGCAAATGGATCTAATGTTGTTGACGTTACCGTGCTGTGGCAGGCAGATCAGGACGTGCGCTAGCTTGTCAATCAGGAATGGTTTGATTGACTCTTTGAATGCATCTGTTGTAATTTACATAAAAGTTTGCACCCCATAGTCTCAGATATCACATACAAATGGTTGAAATCATCAGTCATTTGTACATCAGTGTCTGCTGTGAATAAATGTCATGGAATTACTTACTACTACTAAGTGTTGGTAAAATTGAAATACCATTTGTTTCATGGTTGTATTAGTAGTTTGTGGTTTGTCCAGTGGATGAGCCGAAATATAAGATGATGCACCAAAGCTGAATTTTGCAAATTGGCATCTCAACGGTGCAAATGCATGCGGTGCTTTTTATTCAGCTGGTGACGTCAAGGTGGCATCGTGATGACAGATGTTGTCCTGTTTGATTCAAGCAGAAGTGCCAGTGTCCGTCAGCAGCCATGTGACCTTTTGATGTGTCCTTAAACAATACCTATCGTGCCTTCTCATCATTCTCCTCCTTGCAAGGCAGTCCAAATGAGAGCATGAGCTAAGTGCCTGTAATGTAAAATGAGTGTCAGACGTTGATGAATATGGTATCATTAGCCATGCTTGTCTTGCTTTTTCCGTTTTCTGCTCTAATTGGCTCCAATTTATAATCCTCCACCTTTGGGCCATCCTTTGTAATTCTGTCTTGTTTCCTTCTGTAATTGGTTGAGATCAGTGCATCTTACAGGTCACACAGATGGAAGAAATCCTCGGATCATTTTGATTCTGTTTAACTTGACTGAGAGTTCACATGGACCCCTTTATTTCCTTGTTATTAAAATAGCTTTGCTCAGTTTTTCTGCCATTTGATGTAAGCAATACCACATACATATTTTGAAGTTCCTATTGATCAAAATGTCTCCTACAGAAGTTGTTAAAGGGACATCTTTTTAACACAATTCTTTAGTATCTGATAATATAGTGTATAAGAATCACACAAAGGTTAAATAGATAAATCTTTTTCATATCGAGTGTATGATATAGAAAAATCACATCCATGATTTTATGGCTTTTAAGGAAAAAAAATAAGCATGCAATCTTGTCATTGTAAATTTATTTCAAATGTAAATATGTGACTTCTGATCTTTTATGTGTTCCTGTACATTGCAGTAGGACTTTGAGATATTCCTGTTCTCTTACATGCTCCAAGCACGTGTCGGGGTGTGTGCATGTGTGTATTCAGTTAGTTTTCAGCTGCACACTGTTGACCGACCTAACTCTGTATGTGTGTGTGTGTCTGTCTGTCTGTCTGCAGGTCAGCTGTCCATTCCTTGTGTTCCAGAGAGACTAGAAAATCCCCTGAGCCAAACCTCGAAAGGCACTCATCCGGATAGAGAGGTAACTAACTTCTTACGCACACATACAGTACACACAGCGTGGCGTATCAGTCACTCTGGGACACTGAAGTTTAGAAGTTCAGTGGAATTTGACCTTTGACTTTTGGACAAAAACAGACAGCAAGGCTTGAACAATTACTCTAGTGGGTTAGCCTATTCAACAAGTCTGTCTTCTCACTGAGTTAGTACAGTTTAGTTTGATTCAAATCAGTGTGACAACAACTTTGGTCATTTTCATTTTTTTTTTTTTTTCTTCCTGTCAATAAATCGTGGTAAAACAGCAAAAAGCAACAATGAATTGTTACTGCCACCTAGTATTTTCTGTGAAGGCCTGGTTTAGCCTTTGTTTTTGTGCTGTACGATTCAGTTGTTGTCCAAAAACACATCACTAAGCAAGCTGTTGCACTGGTAAACACATTGTTTTATCAAGCATGGAAGTAGCACTCACCAGACAAGGAAACTGGTAGAAGCCAAGTGTCAAACTACCTGGGAATCGTTATGATTTGGTAAAATGTGTTATATCACACACACTATTCTTTCAGTATTTGCACAAACTTACTCACATTAAACCTGCTGCTTGGCACTTATACCTAGTATCTGGCATCATACCCTGGACAGTATATTTTTTGGGATTCTCTTCTGTTTTTGCCTAAATAAATAACTAGAAAAAGACAGTTAGTCAAGGTCTTTGTACTTTAAACATTTTGTCTTTCTAAATATTAAGAAAGAAGCCATTCATCAAAAAATGTGCAGTAAACATTATGTTCAATACAGTTGAACCTGACGGCAAACATAAAAGTGAGCTAAAATGTTATTGCATTTTTTGTTTTAAAACAACTTTCAATTTCCACATTTTATTGATGTGAGTTCATGTAGTCATCTTAAGATCATTTTCATTTGAATTTTATATTGGTAAATAATACATACTATAAATATCATTTCTGAAAGTTTTTTTTTAACATATCATTTGGTGCTTTGCAATTATTAAATTATGATTTAAAATATGTTTCTTCACCAGGTGAACTACCTAGAGTTATCTATAATCAATAGATTTTTAATACTTTGATTAGTAAATACATTTAATAAAATGATTTTGCAAAACAAAACTAGTTAGAGGGCTGAGCAGAGGTTCCTTTCTCTCTCTCTTTCACACACACATGCTCACCAATCGCTGACTGAGTGCGTCTCCGATGAAATAAATGCAGCCTCCAACTCTCAGACCAGACTCTGTGCATGTCCTTGTCCCCCTAGTGGCCAGCACTAGAACCACATACACATTGCTACACATATTACAGTTTGCTCTATTCTAAATGTTAATTGCTTTATATCTTAAAATGTCAACAAAAAAACAAAACTGTTTTCGTTGAATCTCAGAGCACACTTTATGTTAAGTACATTTGCTTTGAGAAAAATGTTGTGTGTGCATTGTATCTTCCTGCTTTGTGTCTTAAATTCATACACTTAAAGGTTAAGCACCTCGCTCAAGGGCACATGAATGGTTGTTCTACGCAAAGGTGAAAGTGTTTATCACTTTACATCCCTCCTCGTGCTTCTCCAATTGATGCAGTGATTCAGACCTGGCCGTGCCCCCATTCTTGAAACCTCCAGTGGAGTGGTTTCCAATCCTTATGTTGTATTCTGTCTGATAAAGTAATTAAAGCAATTAATTAATCTGATATGGTGGGTAAAATTGTATTGTATTATCTAGACTGCCAAAGCAGCCATGTTTATTTAATGTCACAGAATATAAAAGATATTTGGTTTCATTAAAAGGGCTTGTTTGAATTTATAACTTCTGTTATGAAGTAGGAAATTATGAGCAATGAATTATAAGTGAAAGAGGAATAAATGTGTAAAATAAAAACCAGCAGAACTCTGAGTGATCTGCTCACGTGTGCGTCCAGCCTCTTCACTGCAACGGAAATTAGCTCAAGACTGGCACATTTTCAGCCACATAAAGACAAAATATGACTACGCAAAGACAGACTCGAAGTGAATTTGAATCTAAGACGAGAGGTTGTATCTAATCGAAGCGGTAAATTCAGTATATTCTCTTTGGGTTAAATACTGCTTATAACAGACTTGGTCATTCGTCCTCTTTCTCCTTTTCTCTGCTTCTCTCACCCTTGACAAACTGCTACCGCACAACAACTTTCAACTGTCCTGCTTCTAAAGCGATCGAAGCTGACTTTGCTCTCCACCCAGCTTTGTTTTTCTTCGCAGCCGTTGGGTGGTCTGTGTCTCTCTCTCTTTCTTTTACTCTATCGCTCTCTCACTCATTGTCAAGCTCACAGAGTCTGTTTCTCTTTGAGCGCTGTGAGACCCAGGCACGGTCCGAAACTCAATACCTGAGTATACACAATTAAGTTCACACCAGGGGTTATTGGGTGGAAGTGTGGTCTCACTCCACAAAATGTGCGAGTCAGGATAGGAGGGTGTGAGCTGTTTATGTGTGGCTGGTTAGTTGGTCAAGGTTAACTAAATGACGGGAGGTGGAGATGGTGTGTGTGTGTGTTGTCGAGTTGGTCCTCTGGTTTCAGCACAGGAAACAGTTGGAGGTTCTGCACTGGTTGGTAGCTGCACTGAAGATTTGCTTTGACAGATTGTGGTGCACAAGTTAATCTAAAATAATGTGTATTTAAATGTTGTTTTCAGTCGTGTTTGATCAATAATGTGATTCATGACATTGTTTTCTGTCATTTTGTTCCTTGTGTAAAGTCAGCGTGAACTTGGTATGAGTCAAATATTTTTTAAAGAACAGTTTTGTTTTGTCATCACATCACAATAAAAGGTAACACTTTTTTTTTTTTTTTTTTACCACCTCAGTGACTGGTCCACAAGGAAAGCAGGAAATTATAATATTTAATCTTAGTTTTGGTTTGTTTATATATATTCTAGAAGAGTGTGTGTTTCAGATGTGTTTAGTGATGAATGTCAGAGAGTACATGTCCAAAAAATGACAAAGCAAGTAAAACGTGGAGGATTACTGGAGGATATTTCTCAATTTATCTTCCAAATAAAAACCTCCTATAAATGCCAGAAAATACCAACAATATACATTTTTTTCTACCTAAACACAGGCACATATTGGGTAATTTTTTTTTAAATACACCAGAATTCATATGTCTGTGTGGTCTAAAAAACAGCATTCCTGGTTTTGCCCAACTAAGCTCACCCCAGGCGACCTTTCAGCCTGTTGAGTGTTGCAGTGTTGGACCTGTTAGCCACAGCTCCCTCTGAGTACCATTCACACGCGATTGGGAGTCCCATGACAGGCCAGCTGGAACCTCCAGTCCACCATAACACACACATACAAAAGAAATCCTCCATGGAGCCACCACTGGCCAGCCAGCCTGTCAGTTGTTCACTGGGAGGGTGTGTGGTTGTGTGTGTGTGTGTGTGTGTGTGTGTGTGTGTGTGTGTGTGTGTGTGTGTGTGTTGGGGTTTCCTGTTTTGGCCTGTGTTTTAGCCTTTCCTGGCAGGGGGACCACTGGTGTCATATCTGTCAGGTTTAGGATTAGCGAGACACGTCAGATGTACACTAGGGTTACACTGATATGAGGGTTTTGCAGTTAATATCTGATGCCTTTAATCATTTTTCATGTCATTTTTTAAAAACGATATTCCTGTTATATTTCTGCCATTGTGGAAAATTCTATAGCACAGCACTCAAGCTCGAGAATGTGATTCAGAAGCTCTTGTTAGAAAGCCAGCTGTCCTGGCATTTCTTATTGATAGGTTAACAGCTCTCTAAAACAGGATGGGACATTCTTTGTTATCCCTCAAAACCAAACTAGGGTGATTTTTCTGGACAAACAATAAAAAAAAAAACCCACATCCTTACACGTGGTCAGCAGTTAGTTGTATCAGGGGTAGAGAAAACCAGCTGCTTATTTTCTAACAGCTTACAGACATAT